GTATCTGCTTCAACTACCTCCTCCGGCAGTGAGTTCCAGGCACCCACCACCCTCTGTGTAAAAATCTTGCCTCATACATCACCTTTAAACCTTGCCCCTCACACCTTAAATCTATGCCCCCTAGTAACTGAGGAAAAAGCTTCTGACTGTCCACTCTGTCCATGCCCTTCATAATCTTGTAGACTCCTATCAGGTCGCTCCTCAGCCTCCGTCATTCCAGTGAGAACAACCCAAGCTTCTCCAACCTCTCCTCATAGCTAATGCCCTCCATACCAGGCAACATCCTGGTAAATCTTTTCTGTACCCTCTCCAAAGCCACCACATCCTTCTGGTAATGTAGCGACAATTGAATGCAATATTCCAAATGCGGCCTAACTAAGGTTCTATGAAGCTGCACCATTACCTGCCAATTTTTAAACTCAGTACCCCGGCCGATGAAGGCAAGCATGCCGTATGCCTTGTTGATGACCTTCTCCCCCTGTGTTGCCACTTTCAGTGACCTGTGTACCTGTACACCCAGATCCCTCTGCCTATCAGTACTCTTAAGGGTTCTGCCATTTACGATATATTTTCCATCTGGATTAGACCTTCTGAAATGCATGACCTCATATTTTTCCGGATTAAACTCCATCTGCCATCTCTCTGCCCAAGTCACCAACCGATCTATATCCTGCTGTATCCTCTGCCAGTCCTCATCATTATCCGCAATTCCACCAACCTTTGTGTCATCCACAAACTTACTAATCAAACCAGTTACATTTTCCTCCAAATCATTTATATATATTACAAATAGCAAAGGTCCCAAAACTGACCTCTGAGGGATACCACTAGTCACAGACCTCCATTTAGAAATGCACCCTTCCACTGCTACCCTGTCTTCTACAACCGAGCCAGGTTTTTAACCATCTTGCAAGCTCACCTCTGACCCCGTGCGACTTTACCTTCTGTATCAGCCTGCCATGGGGAACCTTATCAAAGGCCTTACTGAAGTCCATGTAGACAACATCCACTGCCCCACCCTCATCGATCATCTTCGTCACTTCCTCAAAAAACTCAATCAAGTTAGTGAGACATGACCTCCCCTTCACAAAACCATGTTGCCTCTCGCTAATACGCCCACTTAGTGGGAGTAAATCCTGTTTCGAAGAATCCTCTCCAATAATTTCCCTACCACTGACATAAGGCTCACTGGCCTGTAATTAGCTAGATTATCCCTGTCACCCTTCTTAAACAAAGGAACAACATTGGCCATTCTCCAATTCTCTGGGACCTCCCAGTGAGGGTACAAAGATTTACCTCAAGGCCCCAGCAATTTCCTCCCTTGCCTCTCTCAGTATTCTGGGATATATCCTATCAGGCCTTAGGGACTTGTCTACCTTAATGTTTTTCAAGACTCTCAATACCTCCTCCCTTTTGATCTCAACACGACCCAAACTATCTACACACCCTTCCTCAGACTCATCATCCATCAAGTCCTTCTCTATGGTGAATACTGATGCGAAGTACTCATTTAATACCTTGCCCATTTCCTCTAGCTCCACACATAAATTCCCTTCCCTGTCCTTGACTGGGCCAACCCTCTCCCTGGCTACCGTCTTGCTCTTTATATATGTATTAAAAGCCTTGGGATTTTCCTTAATCCTGTTGGCCATTGACTTTTCATGACCCCTTTTAGCCCTCCTACCTCCTTGCTTAAGGTTCTTTCGACTTTCCTTGTATTCCACCCTGTGTTCCCTGAATTCCTTCGTGTATTCCCAACTTCCTTGCCTTGACAAATGCCTCCTTTTTCTTTTTGACTCGGCTCACAATATCTCTCATTATCCAAGGTTCCATAAACTTGTCATACTTATCCTTCATCCTTACAGGAACGTGCCGGTCCTGAGTCCCTATCAACTTACACTTGAAAGCCTCCCACAGATGTTGATTTGCCCTCAATTCCTGCCTAATATTGTTGTAATTAGCCTTCCCCCAATTTAGCACCTTCACCTGACAACTACGCTCATTTTTATCCATTTGTACCTTAAAGCTTACTGAATTATGATCACTGTTCCCGAGCTGCTCCCCTACTGAGATGTCGACAACCTGGCCAGGTTCATTCCCCAATACTAGGTCTAGTACGGCCCCTTTCCTAGTCTGAGAGTTATTTTCTCAACCTTAACCCTAACTTCAGCCAAAAGGGGCTGACTTGAAATAAAAACGGAAAATGCTTGGAAAAAATTCAGCAGCATCTGTAGAGAGAGAAGAACAGAGTTAATGTTTTAGGCTGGTGACCTATCATCAGATCCTGAAACATTCCGGTTTTCTCTCCAAAGATGCTGCCAAACCTTCCAACATTTTCTGTTTTCATTTCAGATTTCTAGCATCTCAGTACTTTATTTCTGTAATGATGTTCCATAGGCTGTTTCAAATTCCTGACTGATAACTCAAACAACTTTCCTATTTTTGGCCCCATAAGGCAATTTATAATATTGTCATCCAGAAAACAGTGATTTAGGGCTGCCTTATTCTGCCTAATTGATAAAATCTGTAATGACTTGACACTTGGTACAGCTTCCGGGACTTTATTGGCATCTTGCTGTAATATTTCCTTTGCCACTGACTGAAAGTTACATTTATTTATCTGGTCCCATTGAAATTTTAAATTGCTCTTCACCTCCTTAACAGCATTAGTCACTATGTAGTAGCATTCCTTGTGGTCATGTCAACATGAAGGTATAAATGATGGAATGAATGGCAGCTTTGTATGGGAGCATTTAGGACTTCTAATCCAGAGCCTCAGGCTGGTTCCGTTGGAAAATGTGTTCAAATTTGGAAGATAAAGCTAGTCTCAGAAATGGTGACCATGAAACCATTGTTGACCGTCATAAAAATGGTTCTGGTTCACTTATTTCCTTCAGGTTTAGAAATCTGCCATCCTTTACCTGGTCTGGCCTGCTTAAGGCTCCAGAGTGACAGCAATGTTTTTGATTCTTAACTGTCCCACGAAATGACTTAGCAAACCACTCCAATCAACAGTCGTTAAGGTTCAGGCAATGAATACAGTCATTGCCGGTAACACACACACCTCATAAAAGAATAAAATGATGGTGTACGCCCATTATTATCCTGCAGTTAGCATGCACTTGCCCGAATAAGGTCTGGCATATTTGCAGGCCCTGATGCATCGAGCAGAAAATCCCAGAAGTGGCAATCGTGCTCAGAGAGCTTATGACTTCCTATCACCCACCCAGCAAGACATTTACAACAGTCCGGTTGGATTTATTGGAAAAAAAATGTAGACCTTACTGGATGGTCCATTAAATATAGAAATCAATATAAGATATAAAGCTAACTGAGGGGTTCAGGTAACAACTAAACCATCAAAGTGAATCTTGATCGGCTCGAACACTCGTCTCCATGCTAAGATATTATTATGTTATTGAAATCATAGAGTCAAAGTCATTCATAATATTTAGAGAGATTTTTCTGTTCCTTCTGCCACAATTACAGAAACTATCAGTCAGCGTGCTCACATCAAACAAATGGATATTCTAACATTATTATTGTAAGTGTGTCAACAAAATAAATAGTACTTGACTATATAACATTTCAGGTATCAACTTCACTACTTTGCCAAATGTAGGTTTATGTGGCAGGGCCCTAGTTACCGTGTTGACACACAGACTTCCTACATGTACTATAATAACACAGTCAGTAACTGTTCAAAGTATCAAATGAATTGTTTCAAATATCACATAAAAGTCATTTACAAAAACTACCCAAGGAATTCAAACTTGCTGGATGTATAACTGCGACTTGTAGATTTAGTGGAATTGGTTAACTGACAGAAAATTGCTCATCTATTTCCCAATCCACTGTACACTCTCTTCAAACAGTTCAATAGTGGAAGCAAAAATTCAAATAAAGCTCCTAATAACCCATAACATGTCTGTGATTGTGACATTCATACTTGTGCTAAGTGGAAAATAAAATGTTTCTGGCTCATTAAGCTCTGTATATGGCTTAACAAGCCTTGCTGCAAGTGAAATATGGACTAATAAAACAGGTCAATAATTTGTTAGTTAACTGCAGTAAAATAACTGCATCAAACAGTTGTAATTAAGTGGGGCACTGATGTGCAATTTCACAATAGAAGGCAGTAACTGTGATGAGCCAGTGCTCAGTGGTTAGCACTGCTGCCTCACAGTGCCAGGGACCTGGGTTCGATTCCACCCTCGAGTGACTGTCTTTGTGGAGTTTGCACAATCTCCTTGTCTGCATGGGTTTCCACTGGGTGCTCCGGTTTCCTCCCACAGTCCAAAGATGTGCAAGTTAGGTGCATTGGCCATGCTAAATTGCCCATAGTGTTCAGGGATGTGTAGATTCGGTGTGTTAGCCATGGGAAATGCAGGGTTACAGGGAAAGGGTAGGGGGTAGGGAGATGGGTCTAGGTTGTCTGCCCTTTGGAGGGTCAGTGCGGACTTGTTGGGGCAAAGGGCCTGTTTCCACACTGCAGGGATTCTATGATTTACTCACATAAATGATTTTATGGTGATTTAGACAAATTAAACTAAACTCAGCTCCTGGGACAGTTTGCTCACAGTAATCCCTGACTAACAAACAACTCTGAGCCCCCAACTACATAATTGGTTTCAGATCATTTTCTCCATGAGCTTACTGACAGTAGATGGAATCTCATACCCTTGTCCCATGACGAGTTTGATAAAGCGAGTGGGCATTTAGATTTGTTGCGGACACCCACTTTCTTGCTACTAATTCAGGCCCTTAAATAGGTAATTGAGATTCATTCAAGGGTCTTAATCCAACATAGCTGGTATTGACTCAGCAACTAGCAGGGAACTTGCTGTATGGGGAAACTGACAAGCAAATAGTGGCAGGTTTGCTTTGATGTTTTGTCTCATATTTATCTTTTTGGCCTTGTTACAAAGTTACACTTGTGATTAAACTCATGGTACAAGTAAAATTGAAATTACTCATCATTAATGCTTGAAACTGGAAAGATGGTTGGTTGCTGGTAAGGTCAATATAGAACATAGGGACAGGTAGGGACCCATTGAGCCTGCTCTGTCATTCAATATAATCACAGCTGATCATCTACTTCACTGCCTTTTACCCACACTATCTCCATTACCCTTTATTTCAGTACTATTTAGACACTTGTTGGTGTCTTCAGCAAGTCATTCAACAAGGTTCCGCATGGTAGACTGGTTGGGAAGGTTAGATCACATTGAACCCAAGGAGAGCTAGCATTTGGATACAAAATTAGCTTGAAGTTAGGAGACAGAGGGTGGTGGTGGAAGGTTGTTTTTTGGACTGGAGGCCTATGACCAGCGGTGTGCCACAAGGATCAGTGCTGGGTCCACTGCTTTTCATCATTTATTAAAAAAATTTGGTTCTAATCGTGGGAGTTATGATTAGTAAGTTTGCAGATGACACCAAAATTGGAGGTGTAGCGGAAAGCTAAGGTTACCTCAGAGTACAACATGACCTTGATCAGATGGGATGGTAGGCTGAGGACTGGCAGATAGAGTTTAATCTAGATAAATGTGAGGTGTTGCATTTTGGAAAGGCAAATCAAGGCAGGATTTATAAGCATTATAGTAGAGTCCTGCGGAGTATTGCTGAAAAAAACACCTTGGAGTGAAGGTTCATAATTCCTCGAAGGTGGAGTCACAGGTAGATAGGAAGTGAAGAAGACATTTGGTACGCTTGCCTTTATTGGTCAGTGCATTGAGTACAGGAGTTGGGAGGTCATGTTGCAGCTGTGTAGGACATTGGTTAGGCCACTTTTGGAGTATTGCGTGCAATTCTGGTCTCCCTGCTATAGGAAAGGTGTTGTTAAACTTGAAAGAGTGCAGAAAAGATTTTCAAGAATGTTGCTGGAATTGGAGGGTTTGAGCTACAGGGAGAGGATGAATAGGCTGGGACTACTCTCCCTGGAGCATTGGATGCTGAGGGGTGACCTTCTAAAGGTTTATAAAATCATGAGGGGCATGGATAGGGTGAACAGCCAAGGTCTTTTTCCTAGGGCAGGGGTGTCTAAAATTAAAGGGCATAGGTTTAAGGTGAGGGGGGAAAAATTTAAAGGGACCTAAGGCGCAATTTTTTTTCACACGTAGAGTGGTGCGTGTATGGAATGAACTGCTAAATGGCAACATCCTTGTAAATCTTTTGTCAACCCTTTCATATTTCACAACATCTTTCCTATAGCAGGGACACAAGAATTGCACACAATGTTCTAAATGTCCTAAACAGCTACAGCATAAACTCTCAACTCCTATACTCAATGCACTGACCAATAAAGGCAAGCGTACTAAACGTCTTTTTCACTACCCGGCCTACCTGTGACTCATCTTTTAAGGAACTATAAACCTCCACCTCCACTCTTTGTTCAGCAACACTCCTCAGGACCTTACCATTAAGCATATAAGTCCTGCCCTGATTTGCCTTACCAAAATGCAGCACCTCACATTTATCTAAATTAGACCCAATCTGCCACTCCTTGACCCGTCTGATCAATGTCCCATTGTACTCTGAGATAAACTTCTTCACTGCCCACTACACCTCCAACTTTGGTGTCATCTGCAAATTTACTAATCATACCTCCTATATTCACATCCAGATCATTTATATAAATGACAAAAAGCAATGAACCCAGCACTAATCCTTGCCTTCCATCTTGGGAACAAGTCTCGAGATCCTTTGATAAAATTGTGACAATAATATCCATCCTAAGATAAGGGGACGAAAACTGCACATAGTACTCCAGATACAGGGCAACCAAGGTTTGTACAATTGAAGTAAAATTTTGCTACTCCTGTTCTCAAATCCTTCTGTGATACAGGCTAGAATAGCATTAACATCCATAATTGCTTGCTGTACCTAAGCGTTACCCTTCAATTAATTATTAATGAGAACATCTGCATCCGCATCTACACTTTCTAACATCCTATCATTCACAAAATAACCTCACAGTTCTCCACATTTTCTCCATTTGTTGCATTCTTGCCAATTTATACCTCTTGAAGCTTCTTTGCATCTTCCTCACAGCACACATTCACACCTAGTTTCGCATCACTCACAAATTTGGAAATATATTTGGCCTCCACATGCAAATCATATTTCTATACTGTGAGCACTTGAGGCCCAATTACTGATCTTTGCAGTACCCACTAGTCACAGCCCACCATCATAAATATAATTAGTTTATTCCTATTCTCAATTTTCTGCCTACTTGCCAATCCTTAATCCATGCCAGACCATGTACTTTATGTTTGCTAACCAATTTCCTACGAGAGACTTTATCAGAAGTCTTCTGAAATTCCAAATATACCAAGTACTCCTACTTCACTTTATCAATTCTGTTCGTAACATGCTCAAAAACTTCAACAGGTTTGTCAAACACAATTACCCATTTTTCCATCCTTATTATGTGAGTGTCATATGCTTCCTAATAGATACTCACTTGTTCCCCTCTGATGATGTACACCTAATAGGTCAATAGTTCTCCGTTATCTTTTCCATGCTCCCCTCTTAATTAGTGGGGTGACATTTGCTACCTTCCAGTCTATAGGAAGCATTCTAGAATCTATAAAACTTTGGAAGATGATCACCGATGCATCCATTAACTTTCAGCACAGTCTGGGATTTAGAATGTTAGGTCCAAGGAATGATGAACCTTCAATCACAGTAATTTCTCCAACAGAACTTTCATTAGAGCATCATAACATCAGGAATAGCAGCAGGAGTAGACCATTCAGCCCCTCAACCTTGCCATGCCATTTTATAAGACTGTGGTTGATCTGTCCCAGGTCTCCACTCCTCTTTCATGCCAGCTCCGTATAGCTCGCAACTCCTCAATATTTCAAAAAATTATCTATCTCCTCTTTAATTACTTTCAGTGATCTAATCTCTGCAACTCTCTGGAACTCCAGACATTCATTATCTTCTGGGAGAGGAAAATCCTTAACATTTCATTTTTAAACATGTGCCCCCTTATTCTGTGATTATGTCCCATAGTTCTAGATTCCCTTACAACTGGAAACATAGTCTCAAACATCTACAACATCTACCTTGTCCAGCCCCCTGAGAATCTTACATGTTTCAATAAGATCACTCCTCATTCTTCTAATCTCTGATGAATAAAGACCTAACCTACTCTGCCACTTTTGAAATGTCAACCCCTTCATCCCAAGGCTCGTGATTCACTTTTGAACTGCCTCCAATGCCGATGGCCTCTTTCTTAAATACAGGGACAAATGTTTTACACAGTAAAAACTCACCAACACCCTTTATAGTAAAAAAAAGGTTTCCCTTTTTTTAAACACTAACCCCTCTACCCTAGCAATAAACTCCAAAATTCCATTTGCCCTCTTAATTATGTGTTGTAAGTGCATGGTAACATTTTGTGTTACACCTAGGTCCTTCTGCAATGCACTATTTTGGAGTCTTTCTCTCCATTAAATAGTCCGTTTTTTGATTTTTTTTCAACCTCACCATTTCCTACATTAAACTCCATGTTTCTGCCCATTCACTCAGCCTGTCTATACCCTCTTGCAGATTCATTATATCCTCAGCACAACATGCCTTCCTATCTATTTTGAATCATTATGAAATTTTGATACATTATGCTCTGCCTCACCTGTGTGAGTGCGAAAGAGAGAGAGGGGCGAGTGTGTGTATGAGTGTGAGAGAGAGGGGAGAAAGAGAATGTATGAGTGAGAGAAGGGGAGGGTGTGTGTGTGTGTGTGTGTGTGTGTGTGAAGAAGGGAGGGAAAGTGTCTGCGAGAGTGAAGGGGGTGGAGGGAGTGTGTGTTTGAGTGTGTGAGGGGGGGAGATATAGAGAGTGTGAGAGAGCATAGGGATGGGTACGTGTGTGTGTGAGAGAGAGACAGAAAGGGAGTGTGCATGTGGGAACACACTCGTGTCAAAAGCACTCAGTACCTGAACAGCCAGTAGAAAGATGTCCAGTGGGATACCCCTATCTGAACTTAATATCAAGACCCCTTGTCCCTTCTCTACACAAACTCAAACCTGAGAAACCAATACCGCTTCCCCCCGCCTCTCCCAACCCCCCAACATGCCTCGCCATTACCGTGAATCCTCAAGACACTGCTGGCCTACGATTGGCCAACACCTCTCACTGCAAGCAGGACATTGGCCCTAGGGTCTTGATTCCACGGTGACCTTCTCATTGCCTGATTGGCATTAGGCTTGCTTTACCTGGAAGGGGCAGCAGGAGTCAGTCAAAGTCTCTCTGTCTGTCTGATGGGACGCCCAGATACCTCAAGTCGATTCCACTATCGGTAGTGTTTCCAGTAGAGGCCATCCAATGGAGCTGGGTCTCCATCTGAGAGTTTCAGAGGCTGACCAATCTGCTGTGCATTTGCAGCAGCTTCTGTTTTCTTTTCCATGAATAAATGCCCTTTTTAAGTTTCAATCACACTCTGGTGCCAGAATATGTCAGTAATGAATGTGATAGTGCGCAGTCAATTTCAACTCTGCTGTTCGGAGCAAATACTGCTCTTCAGCTATTGGTCACAGATGTTGAGAGATTTCTTCTTCACCAACTCTATTAGAAGTTGTATTAGATTGAATTTCGAATCGTCATCTCAAAATAAGTCACTAGTTACTGTACTAGTGTACATGCTGACATTGCCCTGTCTAGGCTTCCCAATTCAGTTGTGAGATTATTTATAGTAAACAAGCACAGCATTAGGCAAGAGCTACTGAGAGAAGGAGCAGCTGATATTTGATAAATTGTTCAATTATTTGAAATGTTCAGGCCCCTATACTTAATGAGTATTTTAATATTTATTTACTCAAATCTGCTTTGCAGGGAAAATGGAATAATTTTTTTTGCTGCAAATAAAATGTGCAATGACTACTAATGATCAAACCCTTCTCTTTGAGATTTCAGTGTAACACTGCGATTGCAATGCATAACCTAAAGCGACTGAGTGGGTTTAATGCGATGATGGTTTGATATATAATTCATACAGCG